CCAGAAAGTCAGTTGTATCCTGGGCTGCATCAAAAGCAGCATGGCCAGCAAGTCAAGGGAGGTGATTTCTGTCCCTCTACTCCTGTACTCCCACCAGGAGTGCTATGTCCAGCTGCGGGGCCCTCAACATAAAAATGACATAAACCTGTTGGAGCAAGTCCAGAGGAGAGTCTCAAAGATGATCAGAGGACTAGAGTACCTCTTCTGTGATGACAGTCTGAAAAAATTGTGGCTGTTTGGTCAGGAGAACAGAAGGGCTCAGGGATATTGTATAGCAGCCTTTCATAAGCTAAAGGGAGGCTGAAAGAGAGCTGGAGAGGGACTTTTTATGAGGGTGTATAGTGATAGGACAAGTAGGAATGGCTTTAAACAGAAAGTGTGTCCACTTAGGTTAGAAAGAAGGAGGGAGTTTTTTTACAATGAGGTGCTGAGACACTAGAACAGGTTGTCAGATGAAATCGTGGGTGCCCTGGAAGTGTTCAAGGCCAGGTTGGATGGGGTTTTCAGCCACCTGGTCTAGTGGAAGGTGTCCCTGTGCATGGTTGGGTGGTTGGAACTAGATGAACTTTAAGGTCCTTCCAACCAAAACCATTCTATGATTCTGTGAAATGTTGTTATCAGATGTTTGGTATTCCTTTTTTAGTGGTAATCCTGGAACCACAGTTTCAAGGACTCTTCCATTCATGAAAGAACTTGCCAGAACTTCAGGAACTTCTCCACAAGAAGTGCATTTATACTATAGATATAATTTTTTTGCTTATGTACTGTGAGAAGATAAACTTTAGCTTTACAGTTTCAGTATAAAACTACACTGGTAAGTGAAGGATAGAGCATGACCACTGTCTGTATTGTAAAACGCTAGTTTATTTTGAGAAAACCCTAGACTGTGTACTTCTGTCCAAACTGTTTTTCCCCGCTGTCTAGGTAAGTCAGGTATTGGTGAGGTTTAGTCCACATCAGCCAAGCTCACCAGACAGCTGCTTAAGCTATGAGTTTCTTAATTAAAGTGTGCTTAGTTTCAGTGAGAGACAGCTGAATCCCTAGCAGTGAGGAGGGAGAAGCATGTGGAACTGGTCTCTACTAGCTACTGGAAACATATAAAATGGAAGAACATAAGATCTAAAATAAATTGCCTAAAATAAATAATTCTGAATAGTAAGCCCTCTTCAATGGTGAACACCATCTGTCTAGAAGAAAAAGTAGTTTTAAAACCTTTTCAGAGTGCGAGTATATGTTGTGAGCCATTTAGACTGCCAGAGCAGTGCTCTGGGTGTTGCAGTTTGATTGATTTGGCTTATCATTTCTCTTCCGTTGTTTCAGGGGATCAAGGGGAGCCAACAGAGACCAAGACCCTCATTGTTCACATCTCAGCCTTGGATTCATCTTACGCATCTTATTGGTTATGTTGTTAACATAAGTAACTAGAGATATGGTGTTACTTGAGTCACTAGTGTGTGTTAGCAGGAAACCAGGGGCATGCTGATACTTGAAGTTCTTGTAGTTGACCCCTGACTCTGGGGTAAGAGTAAAACATTCCTCAAAAGCTCTCATATAAGTTAGAACGACCAAGTGTAGACTGGACGGCATAACTCTGTGTGGTAGAAGACTTAGTTCTCTTTTGGTTTTACGAGAAGATGTTGCAAGATGGATAGTATTATCCCTGGTAAATAAAAGTGTATTTTTTCATAAGACTCCCATGTCGATAAGTACAGAATGCCAAATTGCTTGTTGAAGGCATTTGGGAATGTGAAGAAAAGCTAGACCTTTCAAAGAATTAAGACACAAATCTCACTTTAAGCTTGGATGAAAGAATATTTCTCTCTTTTCCACCTGTTTTTTTTTTTTTTCCCCAAATCTGTGTACTCTTATCAAGATAGAAAATGTAACTTTTTGATTATTTTCTCATCTTCTGCAGAATGTATGTCATGAAGTGACTAGTAATGTTAAACAAACTACCTGATATAAATAGGTAGTTTCACAATTTTTTTCCCAACGGAGTTATTTCAGGGAAATGGTTGAGTAGTTTCTGATTGTACATTTAAATAATGTACAGAGAGCAGCTTGAAAAATTCACTCTTAACCAGTAAAATTTGCTGAAGTTATAAGCAAGGGATAGACTTATAATAAGATAATACAACTTTTTTTTCTTACCACATAACAAAAATAGAACTGAAATGGAAGTTATTGTAGAGGGAGAGAAGTAGAATATGTATCAGAATCACTGCTTCTATAAATGGTGAAAAATATGCAAAATCATACTTAGGTGTGATCTGTTATTGCATCAATATCCAACATGGAATATAAAAAATGGCTTTTATAAAACTTTTTTTATAAAAGTTTTCTGTGACTTTTTTTTTCTTCCATTCAAATTGCTGTGGATACAGATCTTATAACGGGGTGGGGAGGATTGATTTTGAGGGGTACCTAAAGTCGTGTAGGTACTGATGATATGAGTGACCCTGAGATTCGCTCAGTTAGGTGGAGCATGGTGCTAAAAACACCAAGTGTGAGGCTGCACAAACATCTGGCGTTGCCCCATCCCAGGACAGAATCCAGCACTCCCCCTTTTTGAACTTCATATGGTTGGTAATTGCCCAGTCCTCTAATTTGTTGAGGTCTGCCTGTAGGGCCTCCCTGCCTTCGAAGGAGTCAACAGCTCCTCCCAGTTTTCTGTCATCTGCAAACTTGCTTAGTGTCCCTTCCAGTTTATATTCAAAAGAGATTAGAAAGTTTTGAATTGGTGAATTTTCTAAATTTTGTGTAAACATCTAGTAAGAACATTAAGGTGTCTAACCAAACGCTTAATGCCGTAATGTCAAGAACTCCCTAAACTGCAGACTACTGAAAGTTAAGAAAATTCAGGAAAGAAGTATGATCTTTAATACATCAGTCTTTTCATCTCTACTGTACTGTGTCTATTTGAGATAGAAGGTTTTTTTTTGGTTGGTTGGTTGGTTTTGGTTTTTTTTTTCAGTAGCAGGCTATATGGTGTTTTGAATTTGTGATTGAAACACTGTTGGCAACACACTAATGTTTTGGCTATTGCTGTGTATTTCTTGCCCATTATCAAGGTTTTCTCTTTTTCTCACTCTCTTCCCTCAACTTCTCCTGTCAGGGACTAGGTTGGGTGTGGACAAGAAGCTGGCAGGACAACTGATCCCAACAGACCAAAGGGACATTTTATGCCATAGAACACCATGGTCAGCAATAAAAGCTGAAGAAAAGAGGGATTAGGTACATTTGTGATCATGGTTTGTGTCTTCCCAAGTAACCATTGTGCATGCTAAGGCTCTGCTTTACAGGAAGTGGCTAAACGTCTTCTAGTCCATGGGAAACAGTGAAACTGTTTTGCTTCTACATGCAGGGGTGTTTTTCCACCTATTAAATTCTCTGTTTTGATCCACGAATATTATTCTCTCCCTTCTGTTTTCTGCTCTCCCAAGGGATAGGGGAGTGACTGGCTGGCTGCGTAGGTATTTGCCTACACAACCCATTGTGCGGACAACCCACCACAAGACTTTTTATTGCATAACACAGGCCTTTAGAGGTTCAAGATAACATCAGATTTGTTTGTAGTCTGAATTTATAGCTGTTATAACTGTTATTTTACAGGCTCTCATGCTTGCCATGAGGCTCACTTATTAGAGTCTTTGGCTTGTTGATGACTGGTTTTGCTGTTTCAGGTACTACTTATCATCTTAGTTTGTCATGGCTGGCAACATTTTAATTAACAATATGTGCCCAAGTGCCTGGACTGGCATATGACCCTAGCACTGCTGTCATGCCTGTACTGCTGTACTAGACATGCACGAAGTCAGCTATGAACTGGAGCAGAAACACTCCTGAAGGGACTATGGCCCATGAGTAAGCCCATACTGGAGCAGGTACACCCTCAAAGGAACTGCAGCCCATGGAGGGTTCATGCTGGCACAAATGCAATGTGTGGATGGCGTTGCAATAGTAACTCTATTACCTGGACCAAAGGGAAAAGGGGTGGAAATTGTAATGGATATACATTTAACCTGTTATAGCCCATGGTTTGAGTTGGATGTTGTAGGAAGTGCTGTAGCAGGAACAACCCAAGCAAACGGAGGACCAACCTCACAAGAAGCTGAACAAGTGAGCTGGTGACTCAGCTTGAGCTCTCTTTGCTTCTCAACAACACAACAAGCCATATATTTTATTCTGATCTTTTATAACAGAAGGAACCCAAGTTATGGACTGAACTAACTCAATAGACTTTTATAATCCTACCACCTTTCTCCTATTTTGTCTCCATCCTGCAGGAGAGGTGAGTAAGCAAGCAGCTGTCTGCAGGTTTGTCTATTGACTGGAATTAAACCACCACACCTACTTATCTGTTACAAGATACATTTAAAAAAAAATTCTCCCTGGATATGGATGTCAGCTCTGCCTTTTCAAACCTTGGAGGTTTCCCTTCTAGCAACCTAGATAGAAATTAACTGTTGGTTGCTATTTGAGACAGAAACTTCGCTAAGAAAGACCTTTCACATGATCCAGTAAAGTTTTTTTCTTTTACTGATAGGGAAATGCTTCTTCTCAGTCTCCCTTATGTTTTAATTCAGTTGTGTTACTTGGTTTTGGTATCTTCTTAGCAGAAAGACATGTTGACTTAAAACTTTAATTAATACTTAAGATTTATAGGGTGTGAGGAATCACTCAAACTTATAAATGGATAATGAATGGATTATTGCCACAGTCTGAGGGGGGATGGGGCCGTGACACAGCACGGACAGGTCTGGAGACAAGGTAGAGGTGCAAATGGAATACTTTATTGAGATGTCCAGAGGTTTTATGGGTTCAGGCAAGGAAAGGGCTAGAACATGGGGTGGAGCATGAGACAGACAAACAGGGGAACAAACCAGGGTAGGGACACAGGCAAAGGGGGAGGAATGTGGGAGGAACCAGGGAAGGGAAGGGCGAATGGTAACTGTCTCCTCTCTGCAGCTTCTGCAGCCTATCAGAGAGGGGAGCGAGGAAGCAGGGAGCAGGCAAACTCCTGGCAAGTCCGGGCATGCCCAGGCTGTGCACTGCATAGTGTGGATACAATGAAACCACATAATAATGGTAAAGTCCATATAATAAAGTCCTGTCAATTGCTGTATGTCTTTCTCCACGCCTGAAACCACTCCCATCCTGAATCTTGTTCCTTCACAGATTATTTATGTGAAGACTACAGTTTTGGATTGAGATGCATTAACTGGAATTAGTCAAAGGGTAAAAACACCATCAAAGAGAAATTGCTTATGTTTGTAAATGAGCTTTATTATGATTGTGGAATGAGAATTTGAAAAGAATTGTTGAGAACACTCCAGACAGAGTTGTATCATTTTATGGAACATATGTTTGAAACTAGACCTCCTTTTCTATCCTGTAGATTAAAAAGGACCACACTGAACAACATGACTGACACCTTTAAAATCAAGTTAGCTATGCTGGTAAGGACCATATGTAGAGGTATGGTAAATCAATGAATCTTAAATCAGCTTATCTTTCTTTTCCACTTGTTTTGGTTCTGAACAGATAATTCTTCAATTTACTGTACATATGGTAAGGACCTTAGCCAGTATTAGAGTGTGCTCGTAACTGACACATGCAGAATGTCTTTCAGACCAGAGAAGGATATGATGCGGATGATAGCAAATTTTTTTTTGCTGGGAAGAATATGGCAATGTCATTTTATCCCAGTGTCTGATTCTGCTGACTCTCCTTATTTTAGTCCCCAAAAAGGGGTATACAAGGGTCTAGCTGAACAATTATATAACTACCGGCTTGCCATCGAATTTTGTTACATTTTTATGCCCTTTTTTTCTCTGTTTACATCAAGAAGAAAAGGTTATTTTGTGACAAAAACTGCCTGGCATTCAAGTTCTTTGACAGAAAAAGCTCAGGCTGATGTGTGCAATTCTTTTCTACTTAGGTATGAGAGTTGTGGATCTGAGTTGTTTTTTTCAGGTTTTTAAATTTATTTATAGTATAAATATTATATAAAAAATAGAAATACATAATACAGAATAGAATATATATTATATGTATTATATATTTTATATATATATATAAAATATTCTTTTTTTAAATGAGGTTCCTATCTGATAAAGCTTTTAGTAGTTGTGTTCTACTACAGCAGGTAAAAGAATAACCTTTACATACTCTTACCAAGATAACCCTTCTTTGTGTTTTTTTTTTTTTTTTTTCTCAAATCTGTTGGTTGAAGAGAGAAGGATTTAGCCTTTTGGATCAAGTATAAGCATGTCCTTTGACCTGGATTCAGAAACAGCTGATAACTAAGGCATAGAGTACCATACCTTAAGCTCACTCAAACAGTGGTGTCACCATTCAGCAGTTCAGGATTGTGTTAAAAGGCAAAACCTAATAAATAAATGAACAGAAGAGGAAAGGACATGTAAAACCTGCTGGGCATGAGGTAATTTTTCTGATTCACATTTTAGCAAATAGGGCAGGGTTGCTATCAGTGACAGCAGGACACATGCTGGGCGAGTCACTAGAGCAGAAATTCCATGTTGGTGGATTATCTCCTTCAAATATGAATGAAGGAAGGAATGAAGTAGTGTTTGAAAATAGTAAGGTTTTGTGTTGAAAAGCTTGTTGATTTACTTTCAGCTATGAATTATATCCTTGTTGTGGTAAATAATGCTAGACTGTAGCCTCCATTGCATAGACACACATTTAGTTGAGATCAGCTCATTGCAGCTCTCTCATTACTCTAATTGGTTACTCCAAAAGAGTAACCTTTTGGAGAATGTGTAATGTGGTGATAGCTGATGACAACTACAGGAGAACGACAGAATAAATAACAAGTCAGATCTTAACGGATCAACAAATGATCTGTGAACATAATTTGGGACACATGGATAATTTGCAACACTATCCTCCTTGTCATATTCTAAGTTGTATGTACAAATAATTACATGGTCAAAACCTTCACTGCTGTCCCTCTGTAGTCTCTATGTCTTTTCGTATTTAACATGACAATAGAGCATTTCTTATATATGATCCATTGATATATTTGGCTTGCACTGATACACTTGAAGGCTCCTTTTTATAGGATTTTTGTGTGCACAAAATCTGTTGATCTCTCACTAGACTGCCTTCTTTTTCGTAATGGCTTTACTGTGGCTTTCTTATGTTTGAACATAAGAGCTATTGCAGAGCTTTTGCGTTTGACTTCATGTCCCTAATAGTAAGCTGACAAGCCCTTCAACTCAAAGAAATTCTGAAGGTATCCTTCCACAACATACTGGGGAATCTTTCAGTATAACAGGCTACTTGAAAAAAAAAAAAGAAAGAAAAGAAACTTAAATTAATTAATGATACTTACCAATTATAAAGTAGTTTTCCTCTTCAAGATACTTCAGTCATTAATTAATTTTTCAGCATCTTGGTACCCTCTCCATCTGCTCCACCATTTGCCTCTTCAGTACTACTATTTTCTACCATCCTCTAATTTTCCACTGGAGGTAATACAGCCTCACTGTGTTTTTCATACTTCCATTTGGTGGTTGTCTAGAAGAATCATCTGATTCTTCAGTAAATGTTTTAATGCACACTCATCACTGAGCATAAATCATTAACCTATAGAACATTTAATTTGCTGTATTTTATTGTACATCAGCAAACAGACCATAAATTAATCTGATATAACTTCTAGACTCAGCACTGCTGATTCATTGGGAGGTTGTCATATATAAAAATTGGTACTATATAAAGTAGTTGATAGTTGATAGTTTCAGCAGTGTAAATAAATACCTACAATTAATTCCCTCTTCAACTTTACAACTTCAGTGTGGAAATATTAGTAGAAGTATTGTGACATTAACAGTTTGCATCATAAATATGAATTTTAATTCCCTAGAATATTAGAGAGAAATAGCTGAAATTTGTTTTAAAATTAAGTAAGTCAGGTGTCATATATCTGTTGCAGGGTTAAAAGATGGGACATAGGAAGATCATGCTTTCCCTTGAGCTTTATTGTTGGTTCCAAAGGGATAGAACTGAAATCCAGATACACCTGACTTTAATCTGGATTTAGAACCACAGAATCATAGAATGCTTTGGTTTGGAAAGGACCTTAAACTTCATCTAGTTCCAATTCCCCTGCCATGGGCAGGGGCACATCCCACTAGACCAGATTGCCTAAATCTCCACCCAGCCCGGCCTTGAACAGTTCCAGGGATGGGGTATCTGCAACTTCTCTGGGCAACCTGTTCCAGTGCCTCGTTAGCCTCACAGTAAGAAATTTCTTCCATATGTCTAACCTAAATTTCCCCTCTTTCAGTTTGTACCCATGACTCCTTGTCCTATCACTACAGTTCCTGACAAAGTCTCCGTTCAGCTTCCTTGTTTTCCCCCTTCAGGTACTGGAAGGTTGTCGTGAGGTCTGCATGCAACCTTCTCTTCTCCAGGCAGAACAGTCCCAACTTTCTCAGCCTGTCTTCGTAGGGAAGGTGCTCCAATTCCCTTGGGAACCCACTAAGGATAGCAATGGACTTTCTCTGCTTTTCTGTAGGAAATATTCGGTGTCCTTTAGGATAAGACAATGCTTAAGTTTTTGTTAGTGTTTTATATCTACATGAGAATCAATATCTTTGGTCAGTTATAATAGTATGAATACTGTTAAAAGTAAACAGCTGGTTTTTTTCATTGACTTCACTTACAGAAGCTGTGTTATTTCCAAGATTCGAAGTAGTCTGGTTGCTGTTTGTCTTCATTTCAGTTAGTTTATAACAGAAATATAAAATGTGCATGGTGTGTACCTGTTATTCTCTCCTTCCTAACTTGCGTGCAGTTGCAACAGTGCTGTCGAAACCAAGAGTTTTTACATAAGGTAACAGACAAGCTATGAGTAAATGACTCTTTACTAACTCATGGCTTTAAAATGGGGAAAACTAATGGTTATACTGGATGTTTGCATAAACATCTCCGACGCTGTCTTCCAGGCATGTTGGTTATACACTGCATGTAGAGAACTCGTGTTTCAATTCCTGTCTGGGAAGAGTTTTGCAATTCCTATCTACCTGTATTTACTTAATCTAGATTAAGTTAGATCCACTATCTTTCATCTGCTTTGCAAGGTGATGGTCTATAAATTATTATTTACATTGATGATTGGAAGGGATAATTGACTGGTCTTTTTAGTCTTTGGGATTTTTCCCAGAAGAGCGGGAAGAGGTTTGGGGGTTTTTGGTTGTTTGTTTTTTGTTTCTTTTGTTGTTGTTGTTTTTTTTTTTTGCTTCCTGTTTTATTTTTATTCATGTTTCATTTATTTTTAACAGTTGATTTGCTTTAATGAGACTAGGTTTGAAGTCTATAAAGACAAGAGCCTACCCCTTTTCCATTTTTAAAAAATATAGGAACTTTTGTTTATTGGTTACATATAACTGAGAAGCTTTTTTTAAGCGCAAACAAATGTTATATGGCTCTACCACATCATCAGAACTGAAACAGGTCTTATTCCTTCTGGAGATTTCTATAATAGAAGCTTTTAATTATTTTATCAAACAACAAAATGCTTATAAAGTCTTTCTAGGTTGCAATGGGAAGGTAACCCAAATCTTCGGAAGTTGAAGATGGTGCTTCTTTTATTTCAGCTATAAAACTGTCAGTTATTGAAGTTCCTTTACAATATTGATACTGACAATTCCCCTGAATGATTTGTCTACTGAGCTGAATGACAATCTTTCTTTTACCTGAGGCCTCAGACCAATAGTTCTGACTCACCAACTGGATATTGTCCAAAATGCTTACTACTGCTTTGCTTCACAATGTTTTTTCTATGAAAATAAATATTCCTCTTCCAAAATCTGTTGTTTCTTATCATCATGTCCATCTTTCTCTTTATATTAAAAACCATTCTGAATGTATGGACTCAGAAATTCTTGGCCTATCAGAAAATCTTACTACAAAGGTGGTAGGCATGTAGCTAGAGAATTCTTGGCATGGTCTAAATAGATCAATTTTTTAACAACAGGTAGGAGGAATGGAAATATTCCTCATATATTCCTAATGCGAGTGATCAAGGCCATTTAGTCTTGCAACAAAACCCCAGATATTTAGTGCTCTGCCATTTTATCTCCTGGGCCTGGAATGCTCTTCAATGTTAATCACAATTGTTCTACCTAAAAAAAAGTTATGATTAAGCTATATTTAAGAATCTCTCAATTATAAAACTTTCTAGAAAGATTAGGCAAGATTGAATAATACTGATGAGATGGCATGTGATAGACATGGAAACTGGAAAAGATGGTTATAGTGGAATCATCATCCTAGAATTGATGGGGTAAAATACATATTAGATTAGTTTTCTGTCTGAACCCTGTTTAATTGGGGAAAACAGATTGAAAGGAACTGAGTGATGCAATTTTAGTAAACAGATAAGGCAATTACTCACAGGGCTGTGCTGTTCTGATAGACTTACTAATAAGCAATATTCTTATTAAATTAAGTGTAAGAAAAGACTGTTTTGGTTTTATATTTACAAAGAAACTGGTAATTAACATAAAACATTTTGCTTTCGCTGTACAAGTTTAGAATTGAATAACTTGGGGCCTAATTAGCTTATTTATATTCGGTGGTGATTTTAAGAAAAATGTGCTGTCTTGGTATATTTGGGAGAGGGGAACTCCAATAAGATGAAACCCCTCCCCTTTTGTTCCCCTTCCTCTAATATAGAAGAGACAAAAATGAGAGGAGATGTAAGTGAAAAAAACAACTATTTACTAAAAGAAAATAGTTACAAAATAACTGCAAAAATACAGGGGGAAAAAAGTTTACCCACAAAACCAAAGATCTACCAAAAACAACTGGCACCCACCTCCCTGGGGACAAAAAGGGAAACTGATACCAGTTCAGAGTCTCTTTGTTCTCTGCCACATATTGTCCTGTTCGGCTTGGCTGGGCTGCAGGCAAAGTGGCATTGGCACTCCAGCAGTGGTTCTGGGCAGACGGTGCTGGTGGGCATGGGGGCAACCCCAAAACACTCTGATTGCGACATGGTTTTGTGTCCCTTGGCTTTGATGTGGAATGTCAGCAAGCCTTCTGTCTGTGCAGTAGATCTGGGCTCATTTGGGTGGCGGTGGCAGCAACTAGGACTGCGGAAAAGAGGCAGCCCTGGGCCAACCTCAGAGAATTCCCACTACTGCAGCAACAGAAAGCAAGAAGGAAGGGACTGTTTCCAGTTCCTGTGCCAGGCCAGGTCAAGTGGGGAATCACTTTTTGGCACCTCCTGAGACCCTGAGAAAGCTCTGGCCCACATAAAGCCCTCCCTTGCCTTTAGGTGACATAATGGTATGAATATTCATTGCTAAAGTTTCATCCCCAGTTTATAACATGTGTCAATGCCTAAATTCTGGCTTATGCTGTGTAATTAAGTGTAGTTGCTGTAGTCCATAGTCTATAGTTGCTATAGACTATAGAGCCTACAGGCACTCTTCCAAACAGCAACTATACTTAATTATAATAATTCCACCTGTTTGTAGCTGTATCAAGCCCATGGGTAGTGTCTG